TTAAAAAAACTTTGGACATCCTGAATGATTTTCGGTCCTACAATATGCCAATATTTCTGATAAAAGAATCCCGTAAGTCCATCCTCACCCGGTGCACTACTACTTTTAATACCAAAAGCAGCATCCTTAATTTCCTCGGATGAAACCTCCCTAATTAGTAGTGTATTCATCGCAGATGTGACCCTAGTATCAAAACCATTCTAACCTTGTCCATTTCTGGGTACCCACGTAGTTGTTGGTTTGGTTGCAATTCGGTTTAGGATCCGCTTGGTTAACTGAGAGGGTCTTAACCCGAACCAAACCTCGTTTTTGATTCAGTTTTCCGGTTTTTCGGATAAATGTGCGAATGCCTGCCTAATTTACCATGTAGTTGGCGCCAATTTTGTAATCGAATCGTGTTTTTCACATGTGTAGAGACTTTGGATTTCAAGTTTTTGTTGAAGCCAAAGTATGGAGATACGCCTTGCGTTGTGGAGGAAGGTGAAAACAGGATTCTTACTGGTGGCTCCTTGCAAGGAGATGCGAGGGTTGCTCTGTTTAAGCTGGAAGGTGATGTGATTGTCGAGTTCCGAGTGTTCATCAACGCTGTCAGAGTTTCACCGTTTGATCTTGCTGCTAGTTGGCGAGCTTATAGGGAGAATCTCCAGCCTTCTATTGTACGTGGTATTCCTGATGTCAGCATCAATCCTGATCCAACACCTGTCGAGGTGGTTTGTCCTTTCACCTCTTTGTGTTTTTTTTTGTAGATATAAAGGTGTTGTAACGTTTTTTTTTTTTTCATTTCTTTCAGAGTTGTCCTTCAGAAAGTTTGGAGCTTGATCTTGAGCATTATGAAGTTCCTGCTCCTGCACCTTCTGCACAGTCGTCCCTTTTTTATGCAGCTGACAATGCAGAGAATCCACGATCTCTTTCAGCTTCTGGTTCATTTGTTAACGACGATACACCAAAGGCAGCATCGAAGAGTCCTAGAGTTTCTGCTGTTAGTGAGGATGGGTCACCATCTGAAAAGGTTCTACTTTGATACTTGCATGGTACATTGTCATCTTTCTTATTTAATCATTGCCTTACATCTTACCCTTAGGACATGGAGATCATTGTTC